TGTCCCCAGCCTATACTAGATACTGCAGATCACAGTTAGATAAGACATGGACTCTGTCCTCAAGTTGCTCACAGTCTAGCAGAGAACAAGAAATCCTTGGAAAGTATTATGCAGAATTTCCTGTAGAAGGCTAATATCTTTCCTAACTTTGTAGATCTTGATGATGAAAATGAATTTTCTACCCAAAGATCTAGCTTTTCTCTTGATCATGGTTTATTTGTTAGGAGTCCCATAAAACACTATACTTTCCCTTTCTGTGAAAGTACAAGATAACATCAACTGCAACTCAGTTTAGTCCATAAACACTTACACAGGATCTGCTGTTGGCAAGGCGCTGTGCTAGACACATAGGAGTATGAAAATTGAATACTTATAGCATAGAACATTTTCTTTTTCATGTCAGGACAATACTGTTTCATAGCTTTCAAACTTTGTAATGAGAGTTATTTTTAATAAATACTTAGATGAAATAGAAGACAAAAATACCTCTGTAACTATAGTCCAGACTTGCCAGCCTAGGATTTCAAAGTCTCCATTCAGATCCTCTTTTGTACCCCAGATCTGTTTTGAGCTTTCTTTTTCCTTTACCTCAGCCAAACCAGCCTGCTTGCCAATCTCTGCACACAACTAACTCTTGCTTCTGCGCCTTTGCTTGACTAATTCTTCTGCTCCTAGGATGCCTTTCTCCCCATGAATCCATGTCCGTCCCTGCCATCACAGTCTGGCCCTGAGTCCGTCTCCTGCAAGGAGCCTGTGATCAGCATCCCCACCTCCTCCTGTGTCCCTCCCACATGTACCTAACCCAGATGATGGTGGAATAACCTTTCTGTGGTATTCGTTAATGCTTCCCATTCTCCGTCCACATCTTTCTGATCTAGATATCTAGATATAACATCTTATTAAATAAAACAGTGTAGTATAACCAGGTCATTCATCAGACCTTTTAGGAGTGAGTCTTTATATCAAAGATTTCATTTGGGTATTTGTGGGCTGTTAGTTGCATGATAGAGAGGAAGATTAAAAACGTTGGGATGGGAATGTGACGAGTAAGGCTGGAGTCCAGCAGAAAAAATAGTCACATAGCTGTGAGAGATCCTCTCTCCTTCCACTCCCAAACAGGACAAGAAGTTCCTTTAAATATGTTTTAATTACAGTAAGAGTATATTGATGAACTGTCAAGCTAGGGAAAGCAGGGCTTTGCCTGTTAATCATCTCAAGCTTGTTGATCTGCTGTTCTGTAATTCTTTTAATATTGTTTAATGTGTGTGTGTTTTATCTTCTGAACTGACTAAAAGCTTCTTGAGGACAGGGACCATGTCTTTTGCTTCTGCATATTCATCCCCCCCCCCCACTTACTCCCAGAGTGCCCTACCCAGCTTGGGGAAGCCTCCCATAAGCACATAAAGACAGGAAATGCAACTTGCGGTTCCACCTACATTCCAACCATTATACTACAGTTTATATGTATAGTGACCTTTTGCCTTAGTGACAACTCAGTGAGGTGGGTATTTCTATCCCAATTCTATAGATAAGGAAATTGAAGTTCAAAGAGTTCCAGGTTTTGCTGTTAGTGACTGGTGGACCCAGGATTAGAACCTAGATCTGTCCGACTCCAAAACCTGTGTGTGCTTTTCACTGTAACTAATATTTAGGACTTGTTTGCAGTTCATAGAACCCCATGATCTACATCGTTGTTATTGCCACCACCACTGGTTCTCTTCTGGTTACTCCTCACATCATCACTAGGAATTAGGTAGAACTATATTAGCATTATCCCCAATTCACAGACAGGGAAACTGAGACTCAGACTTGCCCAAGATCACACAACTGGTAAGTGAATAGCCAAGGCTCCAAACAGACTTCCTAACTCCAGATGTTTTTGTACACTGTATCACATTGCTATCTTAATTCATTTGCACAAATTCATAATTATGTGGCCAGTTAGCACTGACACCTCTCCTACAGAGGTGCCCGTAAGTCTAGGCATCCTGTGGAGCCCTAAGAGGGTGATACAAAGGACCCAAAAAATAAATGCTTGAGAAGAATAGTTCACAGGTGAGAATTAAAATATGGGCCCCTTTATCCCATAGACAAGTTCCTGTAATTTGGCCATGAGACTTCTGTAATGTTCTTAATTATTTCCATCATGAAATTGGAGTCGGGATGAAACCAATGGACTTGATTTGAAAATATTCCCCCTAGATTTGGAGAAGGTGGTAGCTACTTTGTACAGCTGGTAGCTAGCCCAGCATCATCCTGTTGTCACAGAAGTGGAGTCATGTTGGTAGTGGGGCGGGGCAGGGGCCTGTCCACGCAGCGTCTCATCGCCATCTCCATAGAATTCCTCTGGTCCCATCCAGGGTTCTGCTTCTATCTACCCCGACCCTTCGCTGCCTACCCCATCTTACTGTACCCTCTTCCACAGGCCCCTTTAGACCTTTCAACTTTCTTGTCCCTCAGTGTTTTATTCCTAGCAGGTTAGCCCCTTGTCCTTTTACGTCATTAGTAAGTAGTGTCCAGTATCACAAAATCCTTTAGCACAAGCAGTTGGAACAAGGCAACTGTGTTGTAAAAATGTAGGTATGGGGTATATATCAGTGCTAGAGGGAAGTTTTCATGGAAACAGGTTGTTTCTAGCTTTCACCTAAACATTTCTACCTGGCTGTCATGCAAGGGCCTCAAGCTCTTCATGTCCTGAGAGATGTCAGCATCTCCCCACCAAAATCTACTTCATCTGCTGTGTTCTTGCTCCAGTGAATTGTATCACCATCCTCTTGGTCATCTGAGCCAGAGGCCACAGGGACATTCTGCCCCTCCCCCAGTCTCTCCTTCAGCAGCCCTCTCCCCTTCCAGCGGGTCACAGCCCAAGTCCAGTATCCTGTCTCCTGTCACACACACTGTACCATGACATTCTAATGACTGGTCTGTCTGCCACCATGTTCTCCCTGGTCCAGTGCGCCTTCCCCATTGCTGCCAGAGCACTGCCTTATAAAACAGATGTGACATCGCTTACAGAGCAAAACCCAGACTTACCCGCTAGACCCCAAACTACCCTTGAGTCTTACCTCCTGCCATTCCTTCATTGAACCTCACCCCTCTGCAAACACTGGGCCCTTTCACAGCTTCCTGGGAGCACAGAGAAAGAAATGGACACAGTCCAAAAAGGGATACAAAACACACAAGTAGATGGGACCATACAGAGCCCGTTGGTCTCCTTTGCCTCAGATGCTCTGTGCCTTCTTTGCTCGGCCTTGGATACCTTATTTGTGATGCCACCCTACCTTCCCCAGGCAGTTCGGTCTGTGCTTCATGTCTGGAGCTGCCAGTTCTTTGTTCGTGATTCTGGGATAGCATTTACCCCATTATGTTTGGAGTTATTTTTCATATATGTTTCACCTGCTCCTTGAGGACTGTTGTGCCCACTCTTCCTTTCCCTGCCTCGTGTATGGCCTAGCTTCTGGCATGGAGGAGTTGAACAGACATTGAACAGCTGAATGCAGTGTGCTCCTGCAGTGCAGTTAGAGCAGTTAATCCAGAGGTGGTACACCACCAAGAGTGCTAGCATGGGATGCAGGAGACCTGTGTCCCAGGTCCAGCTTGCCACTAGGTGTGTGACCTTGGGTAAGTCACTCAGTCTCATTTAGTAAACAAGGGGGTTGGACTATATGATCTCTGAGGCCCCTTCAAGTTCTATGATTCTGACCCCATTTCTTGGACCAGGAACCACATCTCCTCCTTTATAACTCAGGAGCCTCAACATAGCCAGGCAGCCATCCCATTACTCAAATAGTCCTCTGGTGCTAGCCAGAGCTGCTCGATTCGGCTCCTGCTGGCTGAGCCAGGGACCACTGAGCTGTTCTAACCCCTCCCCAGGAGTTTCACTGCGCCTCTCACACATCACACTGCTGTGTGGCCGGCCCCCCCCCAGGAGGGAGCCCTTCTCTGTGCTGCCCTCCGGGACAACAGCAAGGAGGCAGAGGGAGAGCGGTTTTAGTGTCCCCTCCGCTCCAGATCCCACCAGCATTACAGCTGCTGCCGTGGGGCTTCCTGGTTATAGACATGTTCTCAGTGGGTGATGCCCATTTCCTTGAGAAATAAATTTTAAGCAGCTCATGTGCCTCTTTGAGGCTACTCTTAAAGTACACTGCTGACATTCTGGGGGTGGGAAGAGGACTAGAGTTAGCAACTCAACAGGTACATTTGCCATAATCTCCATGTAATAAATAAGAGCCTATGAAAAGATTAAATAAATCTTTCCTAATGCTTTTTGATTGACTTAATCAATAATTAATCATCTTTAGATGAGGCTGTAACTTGTGGAGTAGATATAATTGGATTAGCTGAAAAGAGGCAGTTGGGGAGCTTTGAAGAGATTAAAATGGCTGTCAATCCCATAATTAAACTGCCACAAACAAAAGCAATGGTGTTTAAAAAAGAAAGAAAAAAAGGAAAGAGAGAGAGAAGGAAATAAAAGGGAGGGAGAAAGTTGGGGAAGTCCCCAGTTGACTTGGATTGACTCGAGAAGTACTTATGTATCGCTAGAGGTTGGAGAGGCAAAATCAAATCTGACATTTATTCCACTGAACGAAATCCATACGTATCAAATCAGGCACTTGATTGTATGCCTGGCCCACTGGGACCCGTGAAATTTTGGCAGCTTCAACTTCACTAAAACAACGAATCCACAAAAGGAAAAAAAGTTAATTATTAAAAACAGAAGAGACCTGCTCCTTGTCCTGAGCCCATTTAGACCTTGACTTTTCATACTTTTAATTGGCTTAGTAGGTTTGGCCTGTGTGAATGGAGTCTTTTATCTCCCTCTTTTTCTTTCCATGCCCCTTTCATCTTTCCTGTTACAAACACACAGAGAGCTTGAGGAAAAATACTTTGGTTTTTAAAGACTTTTCTTTTTAAAAGGATGTGGATTTGGGCGGGGGGAGGGGTGTGTGTGTGATGCTGGTGAATACTTTTTTTTTTCTCTCTTTTATCTCTTTTTCCAGAGAGGAGTTGCTTAAACCAATGGGACTAAAACCTGATGGGACAATAACGCCTTTGGAGGAAGCACTCAACCAGTACTCTGTCATCGAAGAGACCAGCTCTGACACAGACTAAAAGCGTCACCTGCCCAACTCTCAATATTGCTTTTATCAGCATCTTTTCTCTGTAGCTCCAGGGGAGTCTTTTCTCTAAAACATTTATGCCCTTGCTTTGGCTAGAAACACATTAACTGGTTTACTCGTTGAGAATCCAGCATATTTAAGAGGTGATCCTGTGTTTTCACGATACCGAGGCGTTCGTACAGAGCTGCAGTTAGATGGAGTGGCAGGGGCTAACCACAGAAGAAGAGGAATTCCATTTCATCGGGATGGAACTGAAGGACTTCATCCTATAAAGCAGCCCTGGTTGAATCTGGCCGTTCTGTTTGCCAAGGTTCTTAGAAGATGTAGTCGTGGCCTTCCTCTCTCGCCTGTGAAAGCTGCCCCTTCTGAATCTCTCCAGCAGACGGAGCCACATGAGAAGCAGAATGAGCCGCTAAATAAGGGCTGAGGCAAGTGACTTGTTAGATCAGGACTGACTACATGGAAGCCAAGCAGCTGCTCCATAAACCTAGTCCCACTCTTCAATTTTGTACAAATATGTGGAAATGCACAAACACGCACACACACAGCCCCAGACTTGCAAACTGATTACATTCTAAAAAGTTTGTAGGTCCCTTATCGAGAACTTCAGAATACATTTCTCCCTCTAAAGGGTTATAAATGATGGTTTAGTTCTGAGGCAGCTACAGATGCCTATTTATTCTCTTACGTACCTTAACACTAGTACCATAGAACTGAACCCCCATCTGTATCATTGCATGGGAGCATGCATTCTGAGGTCTGACTCGGGGTGCCAGGAACACACGTCCTCCGACCCAGCAGAGAGGATGGGGACTCCCGGAGTGCTGGGAGTTCTCTCGTGGCCTCTGCTGGGGGTGGAGGGGGTTAGCAGCACCCATTTGTACATACAGGTCATTCATAGGTCACAGGTTGTACATTGGGACTGTGTGTGCGCTTGTGTGTGTGTTTGACCTTTCTACCATATGTGATCAGTTTAATGGTAACTTTTATTTATTTAAAAAAAAAAAGAAACACAAATAGTTACTGTTAAACTGATTAAGGCTGTTTATTTTTACTTTTAGAATTGGTCATATGAAGAAGTAGAATATGGATCCTGCAATAGACAGTGGGCCTAGTTAATCAGTGGCTAAAGCTGAAAGGGGTTGGTTCCCTTGTATATATGTATGTACATGTACATACATGCGTACATATATACACATAGATAATGTGCTTAACCACTGCCTTTTAAAACTTTAAATTAAATAAAACATTGGGGTTGATTCAATTTAGCCATCTGTGTGTGTTTCTTTACAGATACATGGGGCAAACAATAGTTCAGAGTTTATGCTTTTTTAAAGTGTTTTCACATCCTTTATCTCACTTACCATAATACCCCTTCTAAGGATAGGTAAAGTAACATGGAGTATTGGTGGAAAATGTCATTTACCCAGAGATCCCTTCTCTGACAAAACAACAGTAAAAGGATGTAGTTTTTAAAGGCCTTTGAGCTGCCAAAGAAGTCACTAGAGTTTCTTGCAATTTACTCATAGGAGAGATCCTCAAGAATCTCTCCTTTTACCTCTTTACTAAAATTTGCATACATTTCTAACAGATTTTTTAGTGGGCTTGAAAGCCAGATAACTCAAAAAAAAAAAAAAAAAAAGCGGCAGAGGAGGTGGCTGCTCAATAGAAGGCAGGTCTACCGAAAGCCGCTGAAGGCCCGCTGAAAACCAGATAGGGAGGCAGGGAGGAGGAGGAAATCCACACCGGCCTCACAGGTCTGGGCCGGTCTGTTTCCCAAAGGACCCTGGTGGACCCAGAAAGCACTGTACCAACAGCATGGCCCGTACACGAATTCTCAGAGAGAGGACTCGGACTGTACTTTACCAAACTGAGTAAGTCCAGAATACTCCGGAGTGAAAGGCTAGGAAGAATACAATATACTTCAGGATTTTCATCCAGATAGTTGGAGAAGTGGTGGGTGACCCATGTTTTAACAGTAAATAAAATGAAACTCGGCAATTCATAAATTTAGATTGGGTGAAAAAAGTTTAGAAAAAATATTTTTGTTACTTCATCCTACAAATGCGTTTCTAAAGTATTTTTATAATTTCTACAAGCAAATAGCGTTGGCATGAGCCTACGTGAAGACATGTTAACCGAAAGAGCATCTTAGCAGCACAGGAAGCGTTAGTCCTGCTTAAGTAGCTGCGCCCTCCTGCTTTCAAGGAGTGTGTTTCACTCAGCGTTTCCCTGCACGGGGCACTAAGTATTAGTACTTAGTTAGCTAGGCTTTGTTTTTGAAGAGAGCATTTGCAGGGGGAGAGGAAGGACCTCATTTTGCCCCTGGAAAGAAAACTAACGTCTGCTCAGTCCTTACTATGTGCTGGGCTTTTCAGGTCTCTTATCGCAAGTAACCTCGTCGCATCTGATAGAGACCATCCCCGCAGGCCTCAGTTTCCCAGTGTCACTGCAAACAGGAGTCCAAGTCTGGCTGGCCTGACTCCCAACACCTCCCTCCCTCCCCTCACCACCCTACCTGGGGCCTCCTAGGACTCTGGAGTGCTGCAGGCGGGCATTCTCAGGCCATTTTAAGCAATAACCATTCCAGCAGAACCAGGTTAAGGAACAGTATAAGCAGGGAGGTGACCTGCAGTGGATCTGTGAGTGGAAGACTTGTGCAGGATTGGATTTCAAACAAGGACCTGGAATCCTTGAGGTCAGAGACCAGGGCTGCAGGCTTGCCCAGACGGATGCCTGCCGTGACGGCTGACAGCCGGGATGAGCATACAGATGGCCCGCGTGTCCGTAGCCCTCCTGCCCTCTGACGCAGGGCATGCAAGTACTACAACAAGGCACTTGAGTACAGCTGACAGACGTGCGGGGCCCCTTTCCCACACCTGTGGTCCTGGGAGGTGTTATCTTCCCTCCTTTATAAATGGGGACACCGCCGTAGGCGGTGCAAGTACTGAGTAGTTCCTCAACACCACATCAGTCTCACTGCCTCCCAATACTAGGTGTCCGGTGTCACCTGTATGGACTTCTCCCCCACCCCCGCCATTATGAAAGTAACCTATGAATATATGTTCATTATGAAAAGTTTGGAAAATGCAGAAAGTTAAAGTTAAGTCACCCAAATCCCAGCACCGAGATAATCACTGTTAATGTTTTAGTGTATTTCTGTCCTGTATTTTTTCTATGCATATATAATTTATTTTATTACAAGACTGGGATCATACTGTATTTACAGATTTGTATCCTGCTTTCTTTAATATATTGTGAGCATTTTCCCATGTCAATAAATATTCTTCAAAAGGTAATGGCTATATGATAATTCCATTATATGGATTGTAGACAGTGCTAGTTGCCTACCCAGGATTATTCCTCCATCCACTGTTCGTGGCCCTCCCCAGCAAGAAAGCTGCCTGGGACCTTCCTGGGAGGCGGCATGAGCTTTGTCGGCACTGAAGAGCAACGGGACGTAGGAATGGCTCCAAAAGGGCAGATTTGCTGTGCCATACAGCACCCATCTTTGGAAGCCTCAGCAGCACAAATCATGACGCGCTTAGATTAAGTGCCCAGAGAATTCTATAGTTTTTGTCAAGAAGAGGAATTTGGCAGTGGCAAGGTATCCAGAGGACTTTGAGAAGTCTGTAAGTGTAGGGGAAAATGTCAGTGTTTCCTGCTGTAGAGTCCAGTTATGGACATGCATTTCTTGGCGACACTCTTCACAGCGATTTCCGAGGAAGGAGGGCACACAAGGGTCGGGAGACACAGGTTCTTTCAAGAGAAGGGGACACCTGTCAGAACTACTGGCTATGTGGTGAGCACCATGTGGACTAAGAACAAATGAATGGGGTTCTAGGAACCTATCACATGGGTGAGGGAGGTGCAGAGGGAGAGATTTTTATCAGCTATCCTGAGAAGGCTGGAGAAAATGAGGTTTCCACGGAAGACAAGCAGCACTGTGCTGAGCTCTGCCCCAGGTCTTCAAGAAGCAGCAGAGCGGCTTTTCTGAAGGTGGGGGGGGGCCTACACCCCAGTGTCCTCAATCAAGCTTTGCATACCGTCAGCCAGCTCTCGTGTGCATCTAGAATGGTGCTCATATGTAGCATCCTCAGGGGAGAAAAGAGTCACTTGGTCATTTTGAGCTTTGTGGTTCACATGAACCGTGGTTGAGAAAGGCTGTCCTAAAGATTCTTATCCAAGGCTTCTGGAGTCAGATTTATGTTTTCTTTTAATGCAGTGCAGTGAAGATCCTGGGCCAAAGACTCCAGCTGTATCCCCGCTCTCACAGACTACTTTTTCTGCATTGACCATAATGTCAGCTGTGCATATTTATGGAGCAATCACGTGCCGGGTTACTGTGCTGGGCTTTTCCGTACACTAATTTCATCTTCATGACTGTCTTAGGAAGAACTATTACAACAACCTCCATTATTCAGATGAGAAAATGAAGGCATAAAGAGATAAGTACTGTGTACAAGCGCATAGCCACTGAAGTAGCAAAAGTTGAACGCAAGCCTGATGTCCTTGTAAATACTAAACTATGTGTTGCTTTTGCAATCGGACGAAATGAAGTCTTACTGGGGAGGAAAAAATGTCAAAAGAGACTGAAATGGGGAAAAAACAATTGAGAAAATAATTTTAACAGGTTTTTCTTGTTCCATCTCCATGGCTTTATAATAAAATAACATTGAATCTTATTCAGGAGCTAGTCTCCAAGAGACCAGTACTCATAAGCATACCAATCCACATCAGTTTGTTCAGTAAACATTTATCGGGCATCTGCTATGCACCAGGCACTGTCTGCGGTGCTCAGAGATAGAAATGTGACTAACTATTCCTTTCCCCACAGTGCCCACGTGGCGAGAAGTCCCTCACCAAAGCCTGCACCAAGGTGCTTACAGGATGCCGGGAAAAGGTATGGCTATCACGGACCAGGAGGCTTGTGGGGGTTGATTGACAGACTCTCATAGGTGACATCTGAGCTGAGCATGAACTTGCCATGTGTAGGAGAAAGACTGTTCTAGCCGGAAGAACTGGTTCAAACAAAAGCTCATAAGCAGAAGGCACAAGACACGTTTGCAGAACACGAGCAGTTAAGTGGGAGTGGGACGGAAACAAAGGTATCCTGGCTGTCCTGCTGGGACACAGGAGCAGCAGTGTTTCCAGCAAGGATACAATGAGAAACACCTGCAGTACAGAGTGCGGACTGGAGAGGAACAGACCTGAAGAGAGACCAGGTAGACCGACTGTCGCATCAGTGCCTGTGAGGGCGAGCGGGGCCTGGATGGCAGCAGGTGTAGAAGCGTGGGATGGGGTCAAGAGGTACTTACGAGCTGGAGTAAATCCAATGGGGTCTTGGAGAAAGGCAGGAAAGCGCTCATTTCAAATCAGATGAGAAGGACTTTGGGGAGAAGGTAATCATCTAAAGCAGTGGCTGCCAACCTGTGAAGGAAGCATCTCTGGGTCTGGGAATAGGCAGGTGGAGCGACAAGTTATTTCAAGGAATCTACAAATCCCTGTGGTCCCCAAGCATCATTTATACACTGAATAAACAATGTCTTAGACTTGCAGGCACTCCCATTTTACAAATATTGTATATATACATCTTGATGTGATGAATAAAATTCATTCATAAGCATTACTGAATTCATTGTATCCTTCTGCCCGTCGATCTGTGTTGGCTAGATTTTCTCAGTCAAAATACTGATGATAAAACAGTTATCGTGTGGAGCGGAGACCCACAAAGTTCAGGCTTTTAAAAAAATTCTCGTAACTGAGAAGACTTAGAACCCTTAGCAACAAGTCACAGAAACTCAAACTAGCTTAGTAGTGGAAGAACACTAGGGTATTTTTCTGTTAAAGGAAGGAGGCATGAACAACCAAGCTGTGGAGAGAATGGAGACGAAGTGAGGTTTCAGTTACAACCAACATCCGAGTCTTGTTATAGTGCAGGAGGAGATAAAGGAATTTATAAAATCCTTTTTTCACAGTAAGTGACTTTTAAGCCTATTATTTTGTCTTCAAAGTGAAAAAAACCTCAACATGAATTTTCTTCTTTCCTGCTGTAACATTTCTAATTCCCTCCTTCTCTACCCTCTACCTCAAGATAGATAAGCTCGCTGGGAATAAAGTCAAACTCAGGAAAGAAAAATACATATTGATAGATTTTAAAAACCACTGCCTCATTTTACTCAAAACAAAGACCCTTGAAAATAAAAACTTGACTGTTTAATGTCTGATTTCTAGGTGGTTAAAAGAGTTACTCCTGTGGTGTTATAATGAACCCATTCTCATACCAAAAGCACAGTAAGCAGTGGAAATTAATGAAGTAAATTTCATACTAAAAGTTTATGTGAGCCATAGAAGGTTACCAACCATTCAACAGTCAAAAAAAGAATCCATATAAGCCAAAGAACATA